ACCCCCCCCCCTATAAGTTTCCCCACATTCCCAACCGCCCCACCCTGACCCTCCCCTGCTCGTTCCGCGCCAGAATCCCCCGTAATTCCCGTTACTCTCCCATCCCGTTCCCGCTGTTGCCCCGCAGACGCCTGCGGGCTGTCGGACGCGGCGCACGTGGAGACGCTGCAGGAGAAGGCGCAGGTGGCCCTGACCGAGTACGTGCGCTCCCAGTACCCCTCGCAGCCCCAGCGCTTCGGCCGCCTCCTGCTGCGGCTCCCGGCTCTCCGCGCCGTCCCCGCCTCCCTCATCTCCCAGCTCTTCTTCATGCGCCTGGTGGGGAAGACGCCCATCGAGACCTTGATCCGGGACATGCTGCTGTCCGGCAGCACCTTCAACTGGCCCTACGGGGCCGGACAATAGGGACGGACGCTCCGCAGCGGGAATGACGGATTTGGGGATCGGCCGCTCCCGCGGGAATGGGGGCGCGGCCGATGGGGTGGGGCCCGGAGAGCGGAGGGGTTGTCGCCAAAGGTTTTCGGGGTCGCGGCGTTGTCCCAAAATTTTGGGATTCTGAAAGGTTTTTGGAGGCGTGGTGGCCCAAAAGGTTTTGGGGTTCCAGGAAGTTTTGGAGCCATGGGGTTGTCCCAAAATGTTTTGGGATCCAAAAGGTTTTGGGGTCCTGGCATTGTCACCAAGAATTTTGGGGTCGTGACATTGTCCCAAAAAGTTTTGGGGTTCCAGGAGGTTTTGGAGCCATGGGGTTGTCCCAAAACGTTTTGGGATTCCAGGAGATTTTGGAGCCATGGGGTTGTCCCAAAAGGTTTTGGGGTCCTGGCACTGTCACCAAGAGTTTTGGGGTTGTGACATTGTCCCAAAAGGTTTTGGGATTCCAGGAAGTTTTGGAGCCCAAGTTTTGGGGTCCCAGCGTTGTCCCAAAAGGTTTTGGGATCCAAAAGGTTTTGGGGTCCTGGAATTGTCACCAAGAGTTTTGGGGTCGTGACATTGTCCCAAAAGGTTTTGGGGTTCCAAGAGGTTTTGGAGCCATGGGGTTGTCCCAAAAGGTTTTGGGATTCCAGGAGATTTTGGAGGCGTGGGGTTGTCCCAAAAGGTTTTGGGATTCCAGGGAGTTTTGGAGCCCAAGTTTTGGGGTCCCAGCGTTGTCCCAAAATGTTTTGGGATCCAAAAGGTTTTGGGGTCCTGGCACTGTCACCAAGAGTTTTGGGGTGACATTGTCCCAAAAGGTTTTGGGATTCCAGGAGGTTTTGGAGCCCAAGTTTTGGGGTCCCAGCGTTGTCCCAAAAGGTTTTGGGGTTCCAAGAGGTTTTGGGGTCCTGGCATTGTCACCAAGAGTTTTGGGGTCGTGACATTGTCCCAAAAGGTTTTGGAGCCGTGGGGTTTTCCCAAAAGGTTTTGGGATTCGGGAAGATTTTGGAGCCATGGTGATGTCCCAAAATGTTTTGGGATTCCAAGAAGTTTTGGAGTTGTGGCATTGTCACCAAGAGTTTTGGGGTCCTGGCATTGTCCCAAGAAGTTTTGGGATTCCAAAAGGTTTTGGGGTCCTGGAACCGTCACCAACAAGTTTTGGTGTCCTGGCATTGTCACCAAGAATTTTGGGGTCGTAACATTGTCCCAAAAGGTTTTGGGGTCCTGGAATTGTCCCAAAAGGTTTTGGGATTCCAAAAGATTTTGGGGTCCTGGTGTTGTCCCAAAAATTTCTAGACTCCCAAAAAGTTTTGGGGTGGTGGTGTTGTCCCCAAAGATGGAGGGGACACAGAGAGGGGGACAGAGCCACCCCCCCACACCGGGATTTCGGGATTTTGGGATTTCAGGATTTTGGGATTTCAGGATTTGGGATTTCAGGATTTCAGGATTTTGGGATTCCGGGACGATTCCCGGCCGACGGAATCCTCGCTCCGCCATATAAACTCATTAATTAACGCCAATTAAAGACATTTCCTACAACCCCAGGGGCTCTGGATTTGGGATCCGGCGGAAAAATTGGAATTGGGGAGATCAAAGCCACCCCCAAAAATAGGGAACGCTCCATAAAAATCCTGAAATTGGGATTTTTTTGGGGGGGAAAAATGGGGATTTCAGGGGCTTTTCTTCATTTTGGGGTTTTTTTTTTGGGAACAAATCCCACTGGGAAGAGCTGGAGCAGCGGGATGGGGGGATTTGGGATTTGGGTTTTTCTTCCCAAGGTTTTGGGGAGATTTGGGGTTTTCCTGGAGGAATTTGGGGTTTTTTTCCCCAAGATTTGGGGGAGGAATTTAGGATTTCTCTTCCTGAACAGATGGATTTGGGATTTCCTTCCCAAAGTGGAGAGATTTGGGATTTTTCACCCAAATGTGAAAGATTTTCACATTGATTGTGAGGATTTGGGGTTCCCCTTCCAAAACTGGGGGGGATTTTGGGTTTCTTTTCCCAAATTTGGGGGGATTTGGGGTTTCTCTTCCAAGGTTTTGGGGGGGATTTGGGATTTCTTTTCCAAAGTGAAAGGATTTGGGGTTCCCCTTCCAAAATTGGGTGGATTTTGGGGTTCCTTTAATCAGGTTCGAGGGATTTGGGATTTCTCTCCCAAATTTGGGAGGGATTTGGGATTTCCTTTCCAAAGTGAAGGGATTTGGGATTTCTCTCCCAAATTTGGGAGGGATTTGGGATTTCTTTTCCAAGGGATTTGGGATTTCTCTCCCAAATTTGGGAGGGATTTGGGATTTCCTTTCCAAAGTGAAGGGATTTTTGGGATTTCTTTTCCCAAGGTTGAGGGATTTGGGGTTCCCCTCCCAAATCTTGGGGGATTTTGGGGTTCCTCGTTTCAGGCTGGGAAGGATTTGGGATTTCTCTCCCAGAGTGGAAAGATTTGGGATTTCTCTCCCAAATTTTGCGGGAATTTGGGTTTGTTTTTCGCAAACTGGGAGGGATTTGGGATTTTCCCCTTCCCAAATTCCGGAGAATTTCAGCCTCCTCATTTCACCCCCACCCCAAATTAAAATCAACAATTACACTTCATTTATTACAAAAAAAAAACAATTAAAATATTACACAATTCCCATCATTCCCACCATTTCCCTAGAAAATATTTTAGGATTTGGGGGAGTCCTCCCCCACCAAAAAAAAATTAACAAACCCCAAAAGGGGTTTTTTTTTGTCCCCCAAACCCCCAATTTAAGACCCCCAAAACCCCTTTAAGGCAACCAGGGGGGTGCAAACCCCATAAAAAAAAACCCTATTTACAACCAGGGCAAGGCACTGGGGGGGGTCCCATTGGATTTTGGGGACATTTGGGGACATTTTAGGGTGTGGGGGGACACACTGCCATCACCTCCAATTCTGGCACCCCCAAAACGAGGAATTTTGGGGTTTTTTAACAGCAAAAAAAGGCACAAAAGTCTTTGGAGAGGTGGGGATGGGGGAGGGGGGGGATGTTTTTTTGGGGATGTCCCCCCCACCCCAAAATGTCCCTTTTTTGGGTTTTTTTTTGGGGG